CAGGCCTGGGTAGTGGCTGAGAGAAACATGGGTTTTAGAAACGGCACACAAAAGGAATCTGTTATGCAAAAGCACCTGTGAGTGACAGGGGCCTGGCTGAGGCAGAGCCAGCCCTGTTTGCAGAGCAGGGCAAGTGCCTGTGGTGCCTGGGAAGGGAGAGCCCTGAGGCCCATTTCTTCTGTCCTGCTGAGAATCACTCACTCTCCTTCAGGCTGTGTGGGCAGGGCTGCCTGGGGACAAGGCTCTCCTGCCTCCCAAGCCACAGCACCTGCCATGTGTCTGCTGGAAATGGAGTGAGAGGCCCAGGGCAGGGGAAAGGCCACTATAGCTATAGCAGAGCATTTACAGCAATATAAACATCTAGATGGGGTTTGCAACAGCTCAGAGCACCACCTGAAGGGTGTGCAGGTCAGCTAGGACAGGCACACAGTGATAACTCGTCCAGTCTTTTTGTACTTACAGATGTGAAGAAGATCTCTGAGACATAAAGTATGTTTCCTCATGTCCAGAGACAATAGTTCATTGCTATTGTTTCTAACAAGGGAGTTTGGCTAACCCAATTGTGCTCATATCTGGCTTTTTTCATAGGCTGAACTGACTTTTCATTAAGTCAAGGTAGTTAATTTGCTCACAAAAGCAAGAGCAGATAGTTAGTTACCATGTTCTGAAATGAAGCTTTTTATTCTTTGTATCTTCACCTGAGCACTGTGTGGCAGAGGCATTAGGAGAAGGTGCTAAGGGACATGAATTGCCCCATTTATTTGAAATTATTTTAATGGCTGTTCTCACTCAAATGCAATAGTAACACAGGAAAGGCTGAGATGTGAGAGTGCTGACATTTCTTTTTCCTTTGTGTCTGATCCCTGTGGTGATTTATTTCATTGTGGTGCCATGTATAAAGAAAAAATGCTTTAAATGCATTTTCTTTATCAACACAAGTACTAGTTATTATGTGTTTGGACACCTTAGCAATGACACAGTGCCCCCAAAAATTACACAAATATTTGCAAACTGTTAATTGCAAATATCAGGCAAAAGACTATCAATTATATCTATCAAGTTTTAATAACTTCCCATATGAAAAACTGGTGGGAAGATCCAAAATGTATTTTTATTATTTATTATTTAAAAATATTTATATTGTATGCCAATAAATAAGTATAAAAAGGCTGGGAAATTGGTATTTAAAATAATGTAACATATATTTACCACAAAAATAATAGTTTCTGATTTCACAGACTGTGTAGCTATTCAATGTTCTATCTGACTTGCAAAATTCAGTAAAACAGTTAGTGAACCAAAATGTTTTCTGTCAAAATGAGAAGTCAGTTGCTGACAAAAATAAAAATGCTTTAAGTTCCAAGTATTTTATCTTTAAAAAAGAAAAAAAAAAAAAGAAGAAGAAAAAAAAAAAGGAAAATTTTAACCTATTTTAATAGGAAATGAAAGTAAAATGAGCAATGGAGTCACAAAATGAAAGGATCATTTTGAGAAGGTTGAAAAGGAACATTTGGGCAAGGTCTCTTCTCCTAGCTGAACAGCTTGATTTGATTGAGGTGCACATTGTTTCGTTCTCCCCCAGCCTCCATTTTCTCAGACTTAAGAAGTTGAAATGTTAACATGTGTGCCCAGCTGTCATTTGAATGTATTTTGAATATTAGAGAGAGATTTTTACCACCGAGCCGTACCCAGGGACCCTGGTGCCCAAGTAACACTAGCAAAACCACCCTGGTATGTTCCTGTTCCTTGCCATTCATACCAAATGCCAGTGGGACTGCAGTTGCACAGACCCCATCCCAATAAGCCATTTGGCCAGATCTTCTGCTCAGTTCTTCTCTGTCCAGATTTCACTCGCTGCATTTTAGTTGCCACAATTTTTTGAGCACATCAGTTCTATAGCTCAGGAAAAGCTGCATTATTAGACACTACAATAATGTGCTTCACACTTGGTTGCCAGTAAAAAGTGCCTTTTAGCTTGAGAGTCTGAAAAAAAAAAAAAACAGGCTGTGAATAACAAACCTTTTCTTTGTTGCTTTTTGGGTGGGGTTTTTTTGGCTTTTTTCACATAGCACTAAACCAAAATTTCCCTGTTACTTTATCCTCTCTCCAATTTGATTTTAAAAATCAGCCAGCTTTTGATGGCTTCACACTTTGCACTGGTTGTAGGATGCACAATCAAAAGTACATCAAGCCACCCATAAATGCCCTGTGCATCCTGTGTGGTCAGCTCAGAGGTCTCAGGGAAGCCCGTACACTTTGTTTCACTGAATCGCAAGCAAATCTTGAATTCTTCAGTTTGTGATACAGTGTAACAAGCCCTGTGAAGCAAATATGGACGTGATGGGATTTTCAGTTATGGTGTGATTCTGGGGCATGTCTTCATCTGGCTTTGTCTGACACAACAACTCTCTGGTGCCTTCTGGTCCCTGAATCTGGCGTCCCACAGAGGATGCCACAACACAGCATCCTGGCCTAGCTGTCGCTGCACTTCAACACATAAAAACAGCAGCATGAACTGTTGTACATAAAGCTTAGCCCACAGAGAAAAAGACAACACGGAATAGAATGTGTTCAAAAGTATGTCTCAAAAAACTTCAAAGCAGGGATTGAATCTGTTAGTGGAGTGGGGATAGTAGCAAAAATGTTCACCATTGTAACAGATTTCAAGATTCACAACATGATAACTTGGATGTGATCTTTAATGTTCACACAGTAACAATGGCTACTTTTAAATTAGGGTTACAAAAACAAAAACTCTCAGTGAAGAGGCACTGAGAGAGCTGAGATGTAGAAACATATTTCTTCCAAAAGCCAAAATGCTTTTAACTGAGGACTGCACATACCTAGTCACTTGCATAACTCTGCAGAAGTGTCATGCTGTTCAGGTTCTTTTACAAACATGTCAGTTTTAGTGTTTTAGGGGGCAATGGATTTGCAATCAACATCTGAAGAGAAAAAGAAGTAGGAAAGAGAAGAGTACAGGAAAGATGGGCACCCTCGTCTTATCTGCTTGGGTGCAGAAGCATGTAAAGATTTAAGGCTGATGTGAAAACCTCACATGAGACTAGTATGTTTTCATGACCAGAAGCTTCCCCTTTAGATCATGTTGATAAGTGGTAAATATTCACCAGCCTGGGAGCTGGGGGGTCAATCACATCATCAAGTGTCCCATACACCACAGCTATTCAAGATGCCTGCAATGCAAATACTTGCTCACCTACATTTGCAGGTGACATTATCTCTATCTCTGGGATTTATAGGAGGGGAATGATTTAATTTGGAATTTCCTTTTAAAGAGAAGCTCAGAGTATGGAGAAACAGGGTATGGACAAGAACACCCAACCAGTTTATCAGGGACAAAGTATAAATAGGTAAGATCTGAGCGGCAGCTTAGTTGCTTTGTAGGGTAATTCTTGAAGTCCCACTTTGGATTTGGATCAGACAAGCCAGCACATTCCTTCCTGTTGAAACACATGAGTGGGGGCTCAGTCAAGACAGATACAGGTCATTCTCTCGGGATCCATGTGGAGACAGAATCATCCTACTGTGCTATGTGCCATCTTTATGGCACCACAATATAAGTCCCTCAAAGGTCAGTTCTGAACTAGCTGAAGGACAGAGAAAAGGAGAAAAAATAATCTTGCTGCACCAAGAAATCCCCCAGGGAATTTCCTCTATGGGCTACAGAAACCTTGGGATGAGACAGATGTGCAAGATGTGAGAGATGGTGCGGCACAGAGGGGACAGAAAACCTGAGGAGGAGGGGAACACCACAAGTCACGAAGAATGTATTGCATTGTGTGTTGACCCCACTCCATCTTCTCACAGAATTCTCTTACACACCTGAAGCTTCTACCCCCTTAGCTTGGCCTTCTGTGCAGGAGGACAACTTGGTCTGATCAGGTTATGTCAGGATATGACTCTTAGACTTGCCCAGCTCCCTAAGATGCAAAACCTCTTTCAGTCTTACCTTGATACAGCACAGCCAGATATACTTAGTATGCAAACTAGAAAAATATCATCTAGCCATTCCCTCTATGCACATTCAACATTGCCATGTACTTCATTTTTTACCACAGTAGGTGACTGGTTTCACTAAAACCACTGGTTCAAAAAGATATGTACTAAAAATTTGTGAGAAATTTAGTGCTCGTGACAAAACACCTTTCATTCCTGGAGCCTGAAATGTTTTGCCTCCAGAATTACAGCAGGGACAACAGAGGTGCTGATAGCACAGATTCATCTCTGCCATCCCAACCATATGTCTAAACCAGCTCTGGCTGCAAGTCAGCCCATCTAGGGTTGTAACCAGGTGAGGTCTAGGAAGAATCAGGTTGGCTTCCTGGTTCATTCCATCTTCGAAGACATTTCTGAGGAACAAGACTAAGATAACAAAATCAGTCTCACAGAGCCAGAGGACAGCTGCCAAATGTCACAGAGTTTTGATCACTCTTATGCTGGACGTACTGGATTTGGTGACTGTTACACAGTGTCTCAGGCATGTCTAAGAAGTGCTAGGCTTTGCCTGCAAGCCATTCATTGTATGCATAGGACAATAGGCTTCTGTGTTTACCTAAAGGAAAAACCTCCAAAATGCAAAACCAGTCAGGATTTTACAACAATATATTCAAGAGTCTTTTAAATAGAATGCACAGTGGTCAAATTTTATACACCGAGTTCTTATAGTAAAAAATACTCCAAATGGACAGACATGTCAAGAGGTTGGGTTGATACAGGCAGAAATTTGTAATTAAATAAATGCAGACAAACCAACCACTGAGGAATAACAACAGAAACAACAACAAAATCAGCACAGCTATTATGTGCACATCTCCAGGCTAGGCCTGCTCCAGTCCAGGCCAGCAAAGTCCAAACACAGGCTTGTGAATAAGGGCATGCACCTGCACCTTTTGTTTTTCAAGATAGTGGCCATGTGTGTTGAGGGGAGCAGATGAGAGAGAGTACACATCTGTCTCACTAGGGGCACCTGAGGCACTGTGGTCCTGCCAGGAGTGCTCCCTTGATTCACCTCCCATTCTCTCTGCCGCAGCATCTTTGTGCAAAGACAGAAAGAAGGAAGGTGGGAAAAACCACTGCCGACAATCCTCAGAAGATCTTGCACTCGTTAATGGAGAAGAGCTTCCGCCTGTTCTGCTTTTTGGCTTGATTGACTGCAGTCCTCACGGCGTACTCAAACACCTGCTGCACCCCCCGGTTGCTGAGGGCCGAGCACTCCAAGTAGCCCTTGGCCCGCACGTCCTGGGCCAGCCGCTTCCCGTCAATGGAGCTGATGCAGGAGGCACTGTAGGGCCCCATGTCACGCTGGTCCGTCTGAGTAGCCACCACCAAAACGGGGACGCGGGGCAAATGGCTGCGGATCTCGCCAATCCATTTGTTCCTCAGGTTCAGGAAGGAATTGTGGTTTGCCACTGAGTAGCACATTAATACCACATCTGCCTGTTGGTATGAGAGGGGGCGAATGCCTTTGAAGGCATCGCTGCCTGATGTGTCCCAAAGACCTAGGCTAATCTGTACACCATCCATGAAGACATCCACCCCCGTGTTTTCATACACAGTGGGTCTGTAGTCATCTGGAAAAGTCTCAGAGGTGAAACGTACCAAGAGAGATGTCTTCCCCACCGCAGAGTCTCCCACCAGAACACACTTGATTGAATCCAGCATTTTATTAATGTCCAGGGCCAAGAGCACCGTCTCTACAGAGCAAGAGTGGGATGGGAGATGCAGTGGTCTCGGAGACTTTCTAGATAACTTCCATTTGGTGAGAAACCATCCAAATCTCTTTTCTTCTCAGGACTTGATTGTGTTACTTAAGTCTAAAGTCCCCTTTTCTCCGACACAGCTCTGTGGTGCTGTCAGAATTAATTCTTCAGGGAGCCAAATGATGTTTCTAGAAGAGCAAAAATAAAATGTAACGTTTATAACCCACAGAGAACAGACCACTCTTCATCAAGGTAACTACAGCTGTACATGTCTTTGGACAGCTATGGGGAGTACCCCACATTGAGGATGCTGCACCTTGCCGTTCTCTCCCAGCTGGCTGCCTGTGCAACAGTCATTCATTTAAATAACCTTCTTGCTGCCCCACAGGGGCTAACAGTCCTACCACCTCTGCCATTCTTCACTAACACCAACTATTTTTTTCCCTCCCATTGTGTAAAAAGCTAATAAAATAATTTTAACTTTGGTATAACTGCTACTGACCTGCTCTTAGTGAGACATTTTCTGCCTCTGACTTTCACTGACAGAATCCTCACTCCCTCTTACCCAATCAGTTCAGATTCCCTTGAAAATGTACCCATGCTCTCAAGAGGTGGTCAAGAGAAAAAAGTCCTTCAGTAACCAGTTTTACTATTTAAGCAATCCTATAATGAACAGTAACACAGAACCGCAAAGACTTCAGGTGTGAATCTTGAGCAGCATGAACCTTAACAGTTTTCAAAAGCAGTGAAGGATTCACAGCAAGAATACAAAAAAATCCTTTCAACAAGCAACAACAGAAGTCAAAGAAAGCCACACCACCAGTGCTTGCCCCAGTAAAACAATTTCACTTCAAGGTGATACAGCACCCTGACATTTACCCTGTTGTAAAACTGATCTGAGAGTACCTCTTCAGAGTATGTAACTGCTTTTGCATTTCTGCCAACATTCAGTCAGATTTTCCTATTTTGAAAGTGTTTGCCTCTTCCCCACTAGCTGTGCAAGATTCACTGCTCACACAGGGCGACACTCAAGATGCTATGAAAATCATTAACTGCAAACTGAAGGCAAATTAGTTCTGCTCAACAGAAGTAATTTTTAAAAAGTATCACTGCATAATTTCAAAATGTCCTGTGTACGTTACACAAATAATACATTTCTGCCTCCTTCATACACGAAGAAAGAAGTCACAGCTTAAGGCTGTTTGCAGAGAAATGAATGATGGCCACAAAACAATGTTCTCCATGTTACCATCACACTCTCCAGTTTCACCACCCCAACTCCCCATCACCACTCCTAACGCACACTTGTAGTACACTTAAAGCTCTGGCTTACTCTACAAAGGGGAAAAGCAAAGGAAAAGAAGAGAAAGGGGTAGACAAGCTTAGAGAGAACATTTAACAGGCACTGACAACTGCTACTGACAAGTCCCCTGCTTTCATTTTGCAGCGAGGCAGTGCCCTACCTCTGCTCATGCTGCTGTCACACCTGCATCTCTCCCACCCAATGCGCCGGCAGGAGGAGGATGTGTCAGCAGCTTGGCCAGAGCATGTTGCTTTATAGAGGCAGCCACAAGGCTGCGGGTCAGTCTTTGTGCGCACTTGAGTTACCGGCATCTAGAGGAGTCATTGCAACAGACGGCGCTTCCTGCTCTGCCAGCAGCTCACCAGCTCAGCTCGCTTCTAGGAAGCGGGATAGAGGCTAAAGCTGCTTTCCCGCATTCCCTGCTGCCC